AGATTTTTTTATTATTTACAACTTTCCTATTCAACTGTTTTCTCTAAAACAATTATTTTGGCCGCAAACCGCGAAAAACCGTTTTTCACCCCTTTTCACCTCTGCCCCTGCAAATATTCAGCTGTTGAATTTTTGCCCCAATATTACTGACTACCTTTCCAACCCATTCCCGTTGAGTTTGCCCTATAAGGAATTTTTTCCTCAAAAAAAATATAGTACGCCTGGCCTATATCGGAGATTTTTCTTTTTATTGAAAAAAAAAAGTTGTATTTCATGAAATATATACTATTAACAACATTGAGGCTACAAACTGTGTTACATTGAAAAATACTATATCCTATGTAGAATGCCTATTTCTGCTAAGAATGCTATGATACTTCCAAAGTGTCATTGCTCACCAAGAACTGTCTTCAATTCTGAACTGTTACTGAACTTTTGTTGTCGCAAAACCGGTACTGGAGAAAAAATTTATCGGAGTTCCTGTGAACTTAAAGCTTAGAGGGTCATTGGATCCAAAGAAATCTTTGAGCTGATTGTTTGATCACAAAATTTCGATGAAGTTTTTAGCTGGTTTTATACATTCTTCAATTGTTTTGGAGACACTCGATTATGACTTCATGAATGGGTCAGGTATCTTTTCGTCAGTGTTTCGGTAATAGTTCTTTTGTTTGAGCTTTTGGAGTTTGTAGAAACGAATGATTCGCTAGGTTGTGGAGTTGTTTCGTTTTGTTCCGATGTTATTTCTGGAAAAGGAAATTTATTATGATCAGGCGATAGGAGTGATGGTTCCTTTGAAGTTTTTTTTTTAAAGTGGAAGGGTGTCAAATATGTCGTTCTTGAAGTTCAGCAGTACATTGGGAATATATATGGCCTGGTTGCCGGCACTTGAAACTTGTAGGGTTGTTGAGTGACATATACTGTGAACGACATATTTTCGTGAATCACTAAAATTGATTCTAGAATGTTGACATCTTCTGGTGAATTTATACAGAATTTATACAAACTTCTGAAACTCAGCATGTGTGCAAAATCAGGATTTGACATGTTGACTCGGAGGAATGTTATTGTCGACAATATCTTTAGGCATATTTGATGGATAATCTGTTCTAGAAGGGACTGGTGAATAGTAGGGCTGACGTTGGACAAAATTAATCTCTCAGACGGAGTAACTAGTCTTCTTGCTCGTATTATTTCATGGCCTAGAGTGATTGTACCGTATTCATTCACGAACGTGTTCAGCAGTTCTGTATTAGAGAGGTAAATGCAGATTCGGTTATTGGAGATCCTTGATGTAAATAGAATTCGTTTGGGATTCACGAGATTTTCTAGTGCTAGGAGATATTCTTGGATTTTTATTCCATCAACTGAAGAAAAAATGATCGCTTGGGTTTATTCTAAAAATTATTGACTTACTGCTGTGGAATAAGTCATGGTTTGGTTACTTCGTTAGTCGGGGTGTTTCTATTGTTGTCGCTGGTTTGCGATTCCTGTAGTCAGAAATCTCAGGAAACATTGGATTTAATTGATTAGATGTACCTATTGCGGACAATGTAAAAAAGGTCCCAAGTTCTATGAGCACGTACTAATCGACCGTCTTGTTCGGTTGTTATGTATTATGTATACATACAATAAGGCGTAAAAGGTTATTTCCTGAAGTTATCTGTGCGGTCATACTCGAACAACAAGTTCAGTATTGGAAAATATCTGAACGTATACAGGGTGTGTCTCATTACCGTGGTGGAAACATTATTTTGTGTATGAAATTTTGTAAGAGGTCAATGAGAGGCGTATCCCTCACATTTTTATCATGCAGCACCACACATTGTTGTCTTAAGTGATGCAACCTTCATATTTTAGTGTGTATTGCCACGCACTCGTGAAAAAAACGTTGAGAACGTCATAGATATCAAAAAGGTACCCGTAAATCTTTGCGAATCCTAATGATGAAAGAGTAGGGCTGACCTAGGGAAAGAACACCCCCACTTCACCACTTTTCGTCATTACCCAGTCGACCAATCAGAAGCTACCGCGCACATAGCGGAAAATTCAAATTGTTCTCACTTCAACGAGACAGACCACCTATCCAAGCTCACCATCAGGTGGTCCCAGTGACCAGCGGCGGTTGGAAATTTCATGGGAATTAAAATTAAAAATATCGGTTAGAGTATAGAACACAGGTCGTCAGCGCGGTAGGCTTGGTGGTTAGCCTAGACACTAACGTGGAATATTGATAGTACTTGCGAACTGTTGATATCGATTGGGCCAGTCTTGATTTGGTCATTGAATCGCTCTTCGAATTGATTCTCGTCCCGATTTGAAGGACTTTGAGGATTTTGAAGGACTCGCAATTATGATTTAACAAAAAGGAATCGTAAAATACTTTCTGATCATTCCCATATTGATTTCAATTTAAGAGCCACCGGTATACAGCTGTTTCAGCCTATTGGGCATCGTCAGTACCGGGCAGGCGGTCCTCGATTGAAGACAAAATGAGAAA